TACCTCTATCACTTCACTCAGTGCCGGTTATTTCGCCCTCGTACCTCGCCGGAATTCTCACCGGATATCAATTCTCTGCGCCACTAACAGGAGGAAGCAATTTGGGATCGGAAAATTCGACAAATTGGTGCTCGAATCAGCCTGTGTCATGGCATCAAAGCTAGGGTTTCTACCCGAGCCATTAGGGTTGTTGCTGAGGCAATGTGTTGGCGGCGACGGCCGGCGGTGGCCATGGAGGTGGGAATGGGTTCTGGAACGTGTTCGGGCGGGGCTGGTCCGATGGGTGGAGAAGGAGGGGGAAGGGGAAATTGGGGATGGTGGGCATCTTGGTAATTTGTGGGTTGGTTGGCACGTGGTTTGTTCTGGGTAAGGTCCGTAAGGAGTTAGTGTTAGACGTTGATGATGTGATTGGGGGTTCGGGTTTGATCCTGTTCGGGGTTTCGGCCGGAGGGTGGAAGACAGGGGTTAAAGATTGGATTCTGGATTCGATTTTTTAGGGTATTGGATGGTGTAAATTGAAATTCGCAGACTTTTGGATTGGAATATATGTACAGTATATCTACAGTATATGTAGTATATGTGGTGTGTATAGAGAGTATATGTCCAATATATGTTTGTTTTTTCTGTTTTCAATGTTTTATTTGTAGTTTATGTTTGGTATATTAGAAGATTTTTTTGTTCAAAAAGAATCTGACAAAACATAAGCTGATTTTTTTTTTTTATTTTTTTTTGTGTATATGTATGGTCTATATTCAGTATATTTTCGGTATATGATAAAGAAATTTATTGCGAGACATAATTTTTATATACAAAATCAGTTTATATTTAGCATAAGTTGATTGTTGTTGTTTTTGTTGTTGTGTATATGTATGGTTTATATTAAATAACCTATTATAATATGTTTATAAATTATATATATATATATGTATATATATATACTTTTATTTATGTATAAAGTTTAAAAAGAAACATGAAGACATAATTTTTTGATGGAAGACATATTTTTCATTGCAACATATACTAAATATATATTAACATAAACGCAATATATACCACCTGACAGCTGCGTGAATTAAGAAATTCAAGTTGAGCGAATTAAGGAATGAGTCAGTTATGGATGGAGGTGGGAAGAATATGGTAACTGACTTTAAGCATTAATATAGATAAATGAGGTCTTTTAGATAGAGACATAATTATTTCAATTTGGATGGTAAAATTGTAATTAATTTAAAATCACATAGCATATATAAAAATTTTCCCAAAGTTAAAGAGCACTCACAATGCTTTGGGTCTCTTTAAAAAAAAATCACATGTCATGTAGGAAATAGACCTAGTCTATAAAAAAGTTTTTCACAATGCAATTCAAAGTGGACCTAGTCAAGCTTATGTGGCAATAAAAAAAAGAGACCAAGTCCACCCTTGTGTCTATTTTGGACCTAGATGTGAACCTTACAATAACAATCATTTACTATTATTATATTTTTATTGATTGTTAGGTATTCTAGACCTAGTACTTTTTTTTGCATTGGATAAATTTTGGTTTTTTTAGTTTGGGTTTGTCAATGTCATTATAGAGTACTTAAGTCTATTTATTTGCCACATATGCAAAAAGAGACCCAAAATTTATCGCAAGACATAATTTTTATGTATAAAATCAGTTTATATTCAACATAAGTTGATTGTTGTTGTTGTGTATATGTATGGTTTATATTAAATAACCTATGATAATATGTCTATAAATTATATATATATATATATATATATATATATATATATATATATATATATATTGTATAGAAGTTTAAAAAAAAACATGAAGACATAATTTTTTGATGGAAGACATATTTTTCATTGCAACATATACTGAATATATACTAACATAAACGCAATATATACCACCTGACAGCTGCGTGAATTAAGGAATTCAAGTTGAGCGAATTAAGGAATGAGTCAGTTATGGATGAAGGTGGGAAGAATATGGTAACTGACTTTAAGTATTAATATAGATAAATGAGGTCTTTTAGGTAGAGACATAATTATTTCAATTTGGATGGTAAAACTGCAATTAATTTAAAATCACATAGCATATATAAAAATTTTCCCAAAGTTAAAGAGCACTCACAATGCTTTGGGTCTCTTTAAAAAAAATCACATGTCATGTAGGAAATAGACCTAGTCTATAAAAAAGTTTTTCACAATGCAATTAAAAGTGGACCTAGTCAAGCTTATGTGACAATAAAAAAAAGAGACCAAGTCCACCCTTGTGTCTATTTTGGACCCAAATATGAACCTTACAACAGCAATCATTTACTATTATTATATTTTTATTGATTGTTAAGTATTCTAGACCTAATACTTTTTTTTTGCATTGGATAAATTTTGGTTTTTTTAATTTGGGTTTGTCCATGTCATTATAGAGTACTTAAGTCTATTTATTTGCCATATATGCAAAAAGAGACCCAAAACATTATGGGTGCTCTTACTGCAACAGACTAACACACTCATTGTGTGTAATACTGAGTCAGCTGCACCAGTTTGAAATTCGCTTAAGAGACTCATTGAACCGACACAATTGACTTCCATTCGAGAACTCGTGATAACATGAGTGACTGTTTTCAAATGCTCCTTGAAGCTCGTATTAGTGCACCATGCTTGTCAATCTAAAAAGTTTATTCACTCTCTTAATTCTTGCAAGTTGATCTAGAGAACTATAACTGACAGTGCACCATGCTTGTCAATTTTAAAGTTCGAGCTCTCTTAATTCTTGCAAGTTGATCTAGATAAGTATCAGTGACACTAAGAGCTGTCAACTTGGTTATTTGTTTAGTGCATACTGTGAATTGGGTTATTTGTATAGTTCAAATAACCTACGTACTTAAGAGAATTTTTGTGTCCTTCAAAAGGACCTTAAAGAAGTTTTGGACAATAGATGCTTAAGCTTCTTAACATTGCAATTCAACATAGATAGTCTTTACAAAAACCCTTTAAAACGAATGTGATCGTCATTTTTTTTTTCCTAAAATGAGTAATTTGTAGTGTTCTCCAACTTCTGCTTTTACCTCTGTATATGGTAACAAAGCAGGGAATAGTAAGGATTCGCTTGCAAAAACTTATAATTGATTATTAGCTTTGGCTTAAAAGTAAGTAGTTTTTTTTTTCTAAAAAAAAAAAAACATGTGATATCGGTTTGTTAGCATTGTTAGCGTATTGTGTCAGCTGGTTTGACCAGCAGATTGCGTCAGCTGTTTTGACCAGCAGATTATATTAGCGGTTTGTAAATTAGTGTTTGGTAAAAATTAGTTGTTTGTAGTTAGCTGTTAATTTGTAAAATTGCTTCTAAGTATATTCATATGTTTTATCATCTTACATATGTTAAAATTACTTAGAATATGAGTAATAATTATATTTTTATATTATGTAAAGTAATTCAAATAATATATTAAATGTTGTAAAAAAATGTTTGGTAATTATGCAGTTTATTATCATATGTTAATGTGTAAAAGTATTCATTAGGATATTTATATATTTTAATACCTTTTATGTTACGTTTATATTTATTTTGAAGATATAAATTATTTTCATTTTTAATATTTATAAAAAGTAGCACAACACACTATAATTTAAGCACCAAATTAAAGACATGCTTGCTTGTAAGATGCTTGTAATCTATATATATTGAAAAAGGTTGATGGAAAAATCATTTGTGGAAAGTTTGACCAAAAAAATATAATGTTTGACTTACTATTAGTAGAAATTTTTAGTAACAATTAACAAAATCTGAATCTTATTCATTTGTTAACAAATTTGGAGATTCTTATGACAAAATTTTGAATCCCACTTTTTTCGTATTATTTTTTTTTACCACAATCTAAATCCCATTTTTTTAGGTAACAAATTTGGAAATTCTTATGCAAAGAATGTGTCAATTATTTATGAAAATAGTTCCAAATACAAATTAATTTAAAAATCTTACAAATTGGATACAAATTTGAGAAACAAATAATTGTATAATTCTTAACATTCATCCAATATTTTTGAATAATTTTATCTTTCAACAAATGTGTGCAAATTGGAAAATACCACGTGCAATTTTAAATTTAAAACAAAGTTGAGATTTGGACGGGATTTACATTCAAAATCGTATCCATGTTTGTTTATAACAAAATCGGTTCATCTTTGATTTTAAAGTAAAACTTTATCCAGTTATTTAGAAAAAAAAAATTCAATAATATCAAAATCATGTGCAACTTTTCAAAAATGCACCAATATCTTTTTATTTTTGTGTTTTTTTCTTAACTATGTTTATCGAGATTTTGGTAAATTCATATCATTTTTTTCGTTAAGTTCGTATCAATTTTTTTTTAAGAAAGAAACAATTTCATAAATTTAAAGTTATTAACAAATTATTTCTATTTTTTATTAGAATTTATATCATTTCAATTTGTTTGGTAAAAAAAAATTGGTGCAATGTTAGGACAATTTGGTTGCATTTTTAGGAAAAAATGATGATTCTTTTCACTTTGTTTCAACCAAATATCCGGATCAATTTGTTTGGTAAAAACAATTGGTGCATTGGTAGGAAAGTCGGTTTCATTTTTAGAAAAAATTAATTATTCTTTTCAATTTTTCATAATAGCAACATTGAATTAGATTTTTTTATTTTTTTTTAAAGAAAAGCGTGAAAATCTTAAAAGTTTCTACTTTTGGTCTACTAGAATTTTGTTTAATAAATAAGATCCCTTAATTATTTTAAAAAATATAATTTGTTAACTAATAACTCATAATATGAAATTTTAGATAAATTTTGAACATACATAAAGTACTTTACGAGTCAAAGAATCAAACCAAGAATGTTATAAGGAAATGTTCAATAACATATAATTTTCACTTTCATGATATTTTTATTGTCATTAGACAAATTAAATATAAAAATAAATTTTAAAAGGCAAGTAAGTAATAAATGCTCCCGTGCATCGCACGGGCACTGTACTAGTTTTTTTGGATAATCCACCACCAATTATGTAATTCTTCTTGATAATTAATTAGACATCAAAATTAAAAGGTGAATTATTTTTCTGAACAGTTATCTTGAAACGCTCGCGTTTTCAAAATTTGCTTTTTCATCCAAAAAACTAATAGAAACACCTATTTTACCAAATATGGTATTTAGCTGTTAGATATAGTCAAACAAGTAAAATAACTCTAAAAAACTAAAAGCTAAGGAAAAAGCTGTTTATTAAGTTGGACTCATGTTCACTTAGTTGGACTCACTCCGTATCTAAGTTGTTTGTCAATTGTGATTCGAATCAATCGCTGGTTAGCTGATTCCTTTGTTGATTTTTCCTTCTTTGTTGTTGAGAATCTTATCTTTCTCGCTAGGGAAATTAGTTGAGTTGATTTATGCTATGACTTGATGGGTATGCTTTTGTTTAGAGCATCTTCAATGCTCAATGTTGTAGTTGAGTTGATTTATGCTATGACTTGATGGGTATGCTTTTGTTTATGTGTTTTCTGCAATTGGATGTTTTCATGTTCATACGTAACTCGTTTTAGGTAAAAATGCTATATCATTAATGGAGACCTTATCCTACATAAACTATCAACATTTCAAACTCTCTTCCGTAAAGCTCGACTCTTGCCAAATTAGTGTTCAATTAAACCACATCATGTTACAAATTCCCAATGAGAGCATCTCCAATGTTTAATGTTGTGGTGACAAATTACATTTCACATCAACACATTTATTAATATCACAACTTTTCATCCTCCAATGCACAATTTAATCACAAATGTTGTGATGATGTGGACATAATTAATTTCTACAATGTAGACAAGAATGTGGTTCATCCACATTCTCCTCCACACTCTAGTTAGCCAATAAAGAGAAGAGAGATAATTATTATTACCATTTTTAAACTATTTAATTGTTTAATTAATTTTATTAATTCATATTAAAATTTTAATATTTGGTAAGTAGATAATATGATAATTAGACTACATTGTGCATTGAAGATGATTTTTTAATTTGAAAGTTGTGAACTCAACATTTATCCTACATGGTTCACAATCTATTTAATTTTTTGACATTTGTCAAAATTTATCCTACAACAACATTAGAGTATTGGAGATGCTCTGATCAATTAAACCATATATAAGTAGGTCTAGATTATGGTAATTATTTATTGAAATTATGAACCTCAAACTGAATCTTGCTTGTTCATTGGCCCAGCAATCAACGAAAAAGGCAAAATATTGGGCAAATGACGTGCTCTGAACCTAACCTTATACAACCGGTCCATCATTATCAATGATGCTTCTCTTTTCTGAAAGGAAAACAACGTTTAATTGCCAAGCCTGACTGTGAATGAGATTATGATACGATGGATTCATCTTATATTTGATTTTATTCGTAAAAAGAAAGCACATGTAATTTCTCAACATGTCCTGAGCTTTCTTGAGCATATCACACTTTACTTTTTCTTTTTTTCTTTTAATCACACTTTACTTAACTATGTGTTTCTTTGGGTAATGTAGCCAGTTACATGAACATGTGTAATGACACACATTACAATCATTCAAAATGAATATATATAATAATGAACGTGTGTAATGACGCACATTACAATCATAGAGAGCATATATAATACAAAAGACGAATTTCTTTTACACCTCACTATATATGTGCATCTTCTTTAACACATTGTTCTATAAAAAAACTTATTTTTCACTTCTAATATTCACGAAACTATATGCGATATTAATCGCATATCCAAATGAATCGCATAATTAAAGTTTATGCGAAATCTTTTAATATATATAATAGCGCATATTTAAATCCCTCTTATAATTTTTGTTATGCGAATTTATTTCGCCTATATAATTATTGCATATCCAAATTGATAGCCGCATATTTTACGATTATGCGACAAGTTTTCACATAATTTATGTCTCGCTTATCCAAATCAGACGCATAGTTAATAACTATGTGAAACACTAACACATCGCGTATTCAAACCCAACGTCGTATATTTTATGTTATGCGATATATTTTCATATACATTGCGTATTCAAATCCAACTTCGTATATTTTATGTTATGCGACATATTTTCATATAGTTTACGACTTGCATATCCAAATCCACAACCTAATTTACCGTATGCGAGAAGTTTTCGTATATTCAAGAGTCGAATATCCAAATTCAACTTATGTTATGCGACATGTTTTCGCATCGCATATCTAAATCCACTGCATAATTTACTATATGCGAAAAGTTTTCCTATATTCAAGAGTTGAATATCCAAATCGTCGCACATTTTATGTTATGCGACATGTTTTCGCCTAGTTTATGACTAGCATATCCAAATCCACCGCATAATTCACCATGTGCGAGAAGTTTTCTTATATTCAATCCAAATCCAACGTCGCATATTTTATATTATGCAACGAGTATTCTCATAGCTAACGACTCGCATATCCAAATTCACTGCATATTTTATTTATATGCGAGAAGTTTTTGTATATTCAAGAATTGAATATCCAAATCCAACATCACATATTTTATGTTATACGACATGTTGTCGCATAATTTACGTCTCGCATATCCATATCCACCGCTTAATTTACCATATGGGTTATCGTTTCACATATTCAATAATCGCATATCAAAATCGAATGTCACATATTTTATGTTGTGCGACATTTTTTTTTTCTGCATAGGTTACGTTTCACATATCCAAATACACCGCTTAATTTACCATATGCATAATGTTTCGCATATTCAGGAATCACATATCCAAAACAATTGTCCCATAATCTAATGATTATGCGACAAATATTCGCATAGTTTACTAGTCGCATATCCAGACCTATACCGCCTTATAATTAATGATTATGCGTAATATGGCTGGCATATTTAAGAATCTTACATCAAAATCGAAAGCCTTATAATTTAATACTCTCCGCCATTTTGTTCGCATAGTTTATGCACCTCATAGATTGTCTGATTTTTCATGTAAAAAACTTAGTCAAATGGCATGTATATATACCACCATTGTTACTATTCATTAATTGCTAACCTTTCACTTTTTGAAACCAAAAACAAATAAAAAAAATACTAGCAAGTGTAAAATCCTTAAAAAAAAAAAAAAAAAAAAAAAACTACGCATGTTTGCGGAAAAAAATGGAAATGATTTCATGCAATAATCAGATCGCTTCCGCTTCCGTGGTGTGGAGTGGACCGTGGGTGAAGAAGATGCTTGCTACCGAGTGTTTTTCAACAAGTGCCGTGAGAAGGCATATATACACCGAGGCCATGTGTTCAATTCCTTTTGGGCAGAAATTGCATGTTCGATGAACCGCACATTGATTTATGCCTTCAAGAAGGAGTATTCTATTGCCCATGTCCGGTAAAAGATTCAACGACTCATAAATTATTTCGATGAATTTTCAAATTTCCTGTTGATTCCAGGAGTCTGAGTGCGTGGTGACGTCGTGTTAGTGTTAACCACATATATTGGTTGTATGTGAGCGAGGTGAAATGGTTTTTTATTTTAGTTTGTTCATGCATTTTGCGACGCGGTTATAACCCTAAAAAGTTTCAAATTTAATACTCAAAGAGCGTAAGCGTTGGCTGGACTAGGTCTTAGTAAATCACTCTAATACATGAATTGTGTATTGGCCTCAAGTCAAAGGACTATTACACCATTCCACATATCGATACTCTCATAGACACATAAACAAATGGTTTGTCGGTAGGGTATACCACTACTCTCTAAAGTATCCATTTATCCATCACAAATAACAACTATTCATAGTAGTTCGACATACTATATTCTTCAAGAATATGATACAGACCACATGTCAATCTATCACGTATCATTAATATCTTTTTCTTAATGATCATTGACGAGGCAATTTGAGAGTTATACTTTATCAGTTCACATCTCATTTTGTTAAGGACAATATTAACTCAAGGGAGCAATTAATTAACAAATTGCGAACAATCAAATAATTATTTAATTAATTGCAATTATTTCATAATTATACTTATTATCACATAGATTTTTAAATATACTATAAAATTTTACTGAAATACTTATTTTATAGAATCACATTGTAGTCAAATCAAAACTTTCAATAAAAAATTTAAAAAATGACATTTATTTTGAAATAAATATAATGTCATTTATTATCAGTTATATGCACCGTACAAGTTGTGTATTTTAAATATACATGTTTTATGTAATTTTGCACAATTTAAATTCCATATAACATTTTCGATAAATTAATACAAGTGATGGTATTACATATTAATTCCATAATTTTAATTTACAAATATTATTTATAAATATTTTTAATTTACAAATATTAATGAATATTTCTTACTCGTACATCACACGAGATTCGTATTAGTATATTCTAAAAACAATTATCTCTAGGACACATATACCAACACACCTCACCACCTTCAAATTTCCCAAGCTATGCCTCAAAATGTATTTATATATATACTTACCACCACTACCCTCTCTACTCCTACAAATAAATATCATCATTTAAAAATATTTCTTTTCTTCCCAAAAAGTTCTTCTTAGTAATATAATTAGGAGGATGATGTGTTGGATCCCTGAGAAGTTTCAGCTTCACTTGGCCATGTTGGCTTTGCAATTCGGATACGCAGGTTTTCATGTCGTTTCGCAAGCTGCCCTTAACATTCTTGCCTTCTTTCTCCTCTTACCCTTTGCCTATTTTCTTGAAAAGTATGTTTTATGTGTCTCATCCTTTTACTTAATCATCATATGCATACCATTTTTTCGCGAATATTTTAACATCTCTATATATAATGAATGTTTCAGGAAAGAGAGGCCGCGGCTAACATGGAATTTCGCCGTCCAGTTTTTCCTACTTGCGATTGTTGGGTACCATATTTTTCATACTTACAAAAAAATAGAGTATACAAATTTTTAAAATCAAATCGAAATCACACTCTAATTAATTCGTATATTTTTTTGACAGGATCACAGCAAATGAAGGATTATATTTGCTGGGACTTGACCACACCTCACCAACTTTCGCGTCTGCTGTCCAAAATTCCGTCCCGGCCTTAACGTTCCTCATGGCCGTCATTCTCAGGCAAAGCTCCCCCTAATAAAAGATAAATAAATAAATAAATTAAAAAATTATTATCTATCTATATCTATATCTATCTATATTATATATTCTATTACAAAAGGAACTTTGTAAGAATATGAACTTTCTGAAAAAACTCTTTGACACATTTTTAATGGAAAATTAGTCATACAGTAATAACCATTTAATATTATATTTTAAGTTAACAAATGAACTGCCTAAAAAACTCCTTTGACTTATTTTTAATGGCAAATTAGTAATACATTAATACTCATCATATCTTATATTTTTAATTAATAATTATATTTAATTAATTAAATATAGATACATGAACAAAACATTCCAAATTTTCAAAAAATTAACCTCAATATTCTCATAGCATTATTCCTCACGAATTTGCTTCTTTCACATATCTGCCAAGCTGCTTTCTTTCATATCTCCCAAATCAACCCAAATAACAAAGCATTGAAAGGATATATAATTGAAGTTTTGAAAAACATCATTAATTTTAATATAATGTTAATGTAAAATCATAATCACATTTTATAATTTTAATATATATATTTTTTTAAAGAAGATTGATACAACAAAAATAGCATAATAAATACTTATAAATAATCCAAATATTTTTAACTATTTATTTACAATTTTAACAAACGCAAAATCTTGGTAAAAAAAAGTCAACTTAATTGAGGGATAATTTGTATATAATAAATAATTCCAATGGCAAATTAGTAATACAATAATAACCGTCTTATAGTATATTTTGAATTAACAAATGAACTACCTAAAAAACTCTTACTTTGACTTATTTTTTATGAAAAATTAGTAATACACTAATGCTCATCATATCTTGTATTTTTAATCAATAATTAATATTTAGTTAAATAAATATAGATACACGAACAAAACATTCCAGATCTCCAAAAAATCAACCTCAATATTCTCATAGCATTATTCCTCACGAATTTGCTTCTCTCACATATATGTCAAGCTGCTTTCTTTCATATCTCCCAAATCAACCCAAATAACACAACTTTGAAAGGATATATAATTGAGGTTTGAAAAACGTCATTATTTTTAATATAATTTTAATGTAAAATCCTAATCATGTTTTATAATTTTAATATATAATTTTTTTTAAAAGAAGATTGATATAACAAAAATAGCATAATAAATACTTATAAAGAATCCAAATATTTTCATCTATTTATTTACAATTTTAACAAACGATAAATCTTGATAGAAAAAGACAACTTAATTGAGGGGTAACTTGTATATAATAAATAATTCTAAAGATACATACTTTTAATTAAGAGAAGATACAAAAATTTTTACTGAAATCATGCACCGTGAAATATATACATAATCTAACAAATTAGAAAAACGAATAATTTATTTAACCACATCATTATTTAAGAAAATAAACTCTTTTATTTAGAATTAATATAGAAATTGAACCTTAGTTTTATTGGATTGGATTTGATCCCACAAAAATCGCTATTTATTTGTTTGTTTATTTGCTTTTTTCAATTTTGGTCACAAAGTCAATAAAGTTAACGAATCTTCACCTGACCATTATGTAGCTAATATCAAGGTGAATATTATTTTAATTATTAACACTTCAAATATTTAAATTTTTTCATTCAATAATTATCTATTATTTGAGCCAATATGGGCGCTAATAAACAATGAGAATTAAAATTTTTATATACTGAATATTTTATTTATTGATATTATCTTAAGATACTTAAATGATTTTATGATTTTCTTAATGACATTTAAGGGTTTATTTGATCGTAAGTATCCTATCAAATCCGAAGAAAGGTAATATTGGCTAAGCCTTATTACCCCAAAATGGCCGAGTTTTTGATATGTGCTAAGTTTCAGTTTCAAAAGATTAGAATTCATGCTTTAAGGTTGTAGAAAACAGAGCATGAAATGTTGTATTGTTTGCCTTGTTTGTTCTCATATCGACCACAAAGTAAAATGGGGACACTATTTAGTTATTTGAAAACGTATATCATCAAATTACCATAATGTCATTATAATATATAAATTATACTTTCATAATTTATCTTATTTCTCATCTTTAATACATTTTTAACACACATTAATAAAGTCACAATAAGTTACAAAATATATTTAATAAAAACAAGCATAATTGTTCTCAATTCAACATAAGAAAATTATTGAAATAATATATTTTTTTAATTTTTTATGAACAAAAATTTTAAGTTGCAGCATAGTTGGTTTGACAATATATAATTGATGAATTTATAAATTATAATAATATCAATAAATTTATAAATTATAATAATATTAATAAAAAATAATAATTATATATAACATAATGTAAAGTTATACAATTAATTGATTTATAATACGACATATGACCCAAAAAGTTCTATACTTGATTTTATGCATTTTGAACAAATCTAAAAGTTACACACACACACACACCCACACACACACACACACACACACACACACACATATATATATATATATATATATATTAAAAACATATAATATTAGACATATAATTAAGTCGTAACACTTACTAATAAATATGAAAATGTAATAAATAAAAATTTTATAATTAATAAAAGTAAATATGAACTTTTAAAACTTGTATTTCCTCTTATTTTTATTATTTGCCACTCTGGCTTAATTGATCATTGATTAAATAAATGTCATTTTGGCTATTTTGTTCATATTTTTCCATTTTAACCCTCCATCTATTACACAGTGTCTCGTCAATCCCATCTCCATCGTTTCCCATAACATCCATTAAATAGGGTTAATATTGACAAGAAAAAAATTTTAGTGTGTTGCTTTTCAAAACGACAAATAATAAAAATAGGAGGGAGTACTTATCTATGTGAATGAGTTGAGTTATTAAACGGTTATTAATTTGTTGTGTTTATTACTTATATGTACAAGTTTTAGGTGATAGACAATAGTTATTTATATTTTAATCCATGTAAATTAGAATCGTTAAACTTCAACAAAAAAATGATTGTTCTAATTTTTAAGTCTTTTATTTTCTATTAGTTTTGAAATATAATATATAAATATCGTATTACATATATAAAATAATAATTATTTTCAGTATTTAATAATGAATATGTAAACATTAAGGGAATTTAACTGAGAAATTAATAGGTAATCTAGAGATAAAATAATGAGTGATTTCTAAAAAAAGATTATGGACTAAAAAATACTACTACATAAATATTTTAATGTTTAAGAAGAAATACAAAAAAATTACTATATTGCAATGAAAAATCAGAAGGCAGGTATTCCGCTGAAAATTCCAATGGATACTTCAATGGTATACGTATCATTGAAAATTTTCAGTGGCTAACTACTAATTAATTTTGCTAGCGTCTAAATATATGAACTATGTAAGAAATTAGTTCTCACAAATAGTGATCCCATATTGTCAACAATTTTAAATATAATTAAAAAAATAAAAATTTTGTATTACATAATGTAAATTTTTATAATAACTTCGTAGTAATAAAGTTCACAGAGCGACTAAGAGTATCATATATAATAGAGTTAAAATTCTTCTCTTCTCAAATATTTAACAAATGATATGCTTCTTAATATTGTCTAATTGTTTTGTTTTATTTTGTTTTTTTTAGTCCAAGAAAGGTTCTTTATCTTGAATTTTCGAAGCATTGTGTATGATTAAAAAAATTGGACAATAAAAGCATTAGAAAAGTTATTGGGCACATAGATACTGCAAATTCGAACGAATGTGAAAGATATGATGATAAACAATGCTAAAATCATTGCAACAACTAAGATGATCAATGATTTGTAAACAATAGATTATAGGCTAAAGGACGCATACACGTCTGTAAGTAACATTAATGTCTATAATACGAAACAATTTTTTTCATCACATAATTGTGCTCTTCATTAAATTTCTTCTTAAAATTACACAATCTCCATAAATATGAAAACAAAAACCGCCGCTACAATCCTGATTTTCTGTGACGTGCAATTTCCATGATCAACGCGTCAATCCTAATTTTTCCCCGCTCTCGGTCTCCTTATTCTTGTGCCAGTAGCAGTTAAAAGCGTATGAGGCGTGCGTCACCACCCCGATCGTCGCAGCCGTCTACCTCCGCCGAATCCGCCACCCCGCCTTAGATCGACCGGCCTCCCTCTCCGGATTTGAGGCTTGTACCTCAGAATTCGACCAGAAATCGAAGTGTTATCGAGAATGGGGATGGGTTTGGGAATGGGGTTTTGGTTGAGGATGATGAGATTGAAAGTGTGGGAAAATAAACTACTGATAAGCTATTGATAAACTACTGATAAACTACCGATAAGCTACTGATAAAATACTGATAAACTACTAATAAATTCATTCAAATCTTCATTTCATACACCAGTTAGTGTGCAGTGGGAGAGATAATCTTTAATAGAACCAAGAAAAAACTAGAAATTCACCCAAGATTTTGTCATCACATTATTAAAAAAAAAATTACCATTATAAAAATATGCATACAGTAAACTACTTATAGTCCATAAGCAAAATCAAACAACACTATGGGTTGGATCTTCAATCGTCATTGGGTGTAGTTCGCGGCTCCAATCGCCGCCTCATTATTTAGAGTTGGATGATGAAACCCTCCGTCATCCTGTTATGCCGCCGGTTGTCGATCTCAAATCCAAGTCGCCGCCGCCTTAATTCATCAATTGATTGCATGAGGCGAGGTTTGTTGTTCGCGAATCAGAAATTAAAAGAAGAATTCGGTCTAAATTTTTTTTTTTTGGTGTCTGTGTATCTTTGTGTGATGCCAAGAAATCGGAAAGGAAGAAGAAAAGGTAATGATGAAGAGATAAGGAAAAAAAAGAGGGTTTAATTTGTAAAATATAAAATGGTTTGTAGAATATAAAATTGTTAATTTATTTAGTATCAATAAACTTCGTGGAACTGTTGGCATCAATAAGGCATTACAAACTTATTCTCGTCATTATGTCTATCAAAGAAATAAA